GAGAGAAAGGATCTTCGAGTAGGTGGGAATCAATTGAGATTGGAGGAGTGAAGTTTTGTGGTATTTGGACAAGGTGGGAGAATATCGACAATCGGTGGTTTTGGAGACAAAGAAGAAGATGTGGGAAGACGAAGAAGAAAGGGGTTAAATTCGAGCTGGAACTTAGCAACGGACACAATTCTATTTCTAATCCGTGTCTAAATTGGCGCCCATACCGAATAGCTAGAGGCCAATTTTTCACTTTAAGCGACGGACTAGCGATGACGGTTGATAAATTACAACGGATTAGCAACGGACACTTAGTCCGTTGCTAATCCATATCTAAATGGCCACCCAATTTTAAACATCCGGACGCATAATTGTGACATTTAGCAACGAAATTAAGTGTTCGTTGCTAGTCTATTGCAATTTATTAGTAATCATTGTTAATCCATTACAAAATTGATGGTTTTTCTTTCAAAAGTTCGAGCACCAAATTTTCTACAAAAATCCCCCTTTAGTGGTGGATATTTCGTCTCTAAATTGTAAGGGAATTGGAATTTAATGATGGATATTCCATCGCTAATTCCTTAGAATGAAAATAACGACATATAACGAGTCCGTCGTTATTTTTTCTAGTAAATCGATCACTAAACTCGTCTCTAAAATATCCGTAAAGATTTTACCATCAAATTTTGCAACAAATTTGTATTTGTTGCTAAAATGCGATTGCTATTCCATTTCTAATCCCTTGTTAAATTCACCGGTAGTTATTCCGTCGTTATTTTCTTTCTATTTAGCAATGGACTTGATTCCGTTGTTAAAGCTCGTGTCTTTAGCAAATTTCTTTTATTGTTTGCGGGGATATAACTAGCACTTGAAAGGGAAAGAAACACATATTTAACAATATAAGTTTTTAGTTAACTAAGTCTTTGTCTATTGATATTATTCATTTTTTAAAAAATGGTTTTTCAAAGAAAAATTGGTAGATAAAATTTGTGTTTAAAAGTATTAGGAAGAAGGAATCTTTATTCAGAAAGCAAAATCAAGCACTTGCAGTTGAATAGGAACTTGTTTGGCATGACATCATGGGCAGACGTTAGCTGTATATTACTAAACAAACGATCCGAGAAAAGTCGTACTTACCATGTGAATATGATCCAGAGCTCCATGAGTGAATTGCAGATTACAGGGTTCATAGACAAGAGCATCATCAACTTGCTTGTAGTTGGCAGTAGAAGTTAAATAGCTAGCCAGCCGCAAATTTTGGGAAGGATGGATTTGCCTTGGAATCCTATAAAGTAGCCGTCTTAGCTAGATTCCCATAAGAGTGGTATGACGGATTTATATTTGTTATTTATATATTTAACCAAAAAAAATATATGTTAGTATGACTTACAAGTTGTCGAAGGGAATCACAAGGAGATTTTGAACTCCATGTGCTGCTTTCGCTTTTGGCCTTTCTAGCAGTATTATTTTACAGTGGTTATGAAGATTCTAGAGACTGGAGGAGAAAAATTTTCTAAGTGTTTTGGCTGGCTGGGAAATAACATCATTTATTATTATTATTATTTTAAAGGGAATTAACATCAAAAGCTGCCAGTTATAAAAACAGAAAAAAAAATCACTAGCTGCCAATATATATGCTTAGGTCTAGCTATGTTAAACCCCAAAAACGAAATCTTCTGCGTAGTGGAAGAAAGTAGGCCAAGACAATCTCTCCACCATCTTGGGTCAAAGTTTCGTCCACAACTAATTTTTTTACAGATACAAAAAATCTTTTTTATATCACCTGTCAATGTATATATAACATTGCCATATGCAAGCAAGTACGAAACAATTCTCTCTTCTTTTTTTCGAACAGTTCTTTAAGTATTAATTTTATTGTTTTTTCTTTCATGCAAGTACTATATTTGGCAGGTCCAGAAAGGAAAAAAAGTAGAAGTTGCAATTATTCAAATCCCAATTTAATCAACAGAATATGATTTAACTCACTCACTATATATATATATATTGTGTGTGTGTTTTCTATTTGGTTTAGTAAGAATGCATATATATTATTTGATGAAAATATCCATCTTTAAACCAGCTTACATGTCAGATTAAATTTCTTTTCTGAACAATCTTAAAGGCACATCTCTGCATCAATATCATGCATTAACAAAAAAAAAAAAAAGAGAGAGAGAGAGAGAATTACCAAAAAAACTCTCTAAAAAAATTTATTATCTAAATTTTCAACCAATTTATTTTTAAATAACTCAAATCCAAAATAATTTTTTTTTTTATTAAAACACCAAGTAGTTAACCATCCACTTAACACTAGCTAGCTATTGAGTGTTTTTATTAAGAAAAATATTATTTCGGATGTGAAAGATTTAAAAATAAATTAATACATTTTTTAGATAGAAGATATTTAGAGTTTTTTTTTTTTTTTGTAATTATCACTAATTTAAATAAAAATATTATCTTTCAAGATATATATTTCTATTGTGGATGCCGTGTTTTATTTAATTAATATACCAAAGATATGTTATAAATTCATTGCGTAATTTATTTAATTACTTGATAAAAAGTGCTAGGTTTTGATTAATTAAAAACTAGTATTATTGATGGTGCTTTTTTATATCAATATATTAGGATTAATGAGATCACTAATGTTTATAATAATACATATTCTTAGTTTTCTCAATGATACCTCTTGGATTAAAATACAAGAAGACAAAATGAGTCTCATTTCATAAATATTAATTAGTTGAATTGGATCAATTTCTATAGTTAGTAGATAGTAAAGCTAATTCATTAATTGATGAAACAAAAGGTTGCTAAAAAAAATAGAAACTCCTAGAAAGGGATTTTTTTAGTGTAATAAGAAAATAATAGTCGAAAGTTAGCGGATCATCGATCAAAGAACCCGAGTACACTTTTTTTTTATTGCGTAAAGAACTTAAACTTGATCATGATTTAAAAAAAAAAATCACTATCAAACTCATCAAAAACTATGAAATATTATTATTATTATTATTATTATTAGATAATTATCATAAAAAAAATCTTTCAAAAAATCATCTATCTAAAAAACCTATCAATTTATTTTTAAATCTCTAAAATTTAAAATAATCTTTTTTCTTATCAAAATATGTGATATTTAGCTGGTGTTAAGTTGGAGGTTAACTATTTCATATTTGATATAAAAAAAAATATTATTTTTTATTTAAGAGGTTTTGAAATAAATTGATGAGTTGTTTTCTTAGATAGAAGATTTTCTTAGAGGGTTTTGTTTTAGTACTTGTCCCTAATAAATAATAATGTAAACTATTTTTCTAAGGAAAAGTATAGATCATATACTTTAAAGAAGGAAATGACCAAATTCTTTTTAGTGTTTTTAAGATAAAATAGTTATTTTCAAGCTTTTCTTTCAGAAAATACTTCATTATATTCTTCTATAATGGCCTAATAAAAATAAATTTAAAAATTATATTACAATCATTAATGATTTTATGAATGGAAAAGATAGATATTCGAAAAAAAATTGACTTGAAAGATTTGTTTAGTTAAAAAAAAAAAAAAAAAGAACTACCTAATTTTTAATGTAAAAAGACGGTATGTAGAAAATACAATAAAAATGTGAACTATTAGAAGTTATGATAGAACCTTCTTGATCTTTCATATTCCGGAGTATTTTTCGTTGAAGTAGAAGACGCTTTTATTAGGGAAAGAAAATAACAACGGCCCTTGAGCTCATTGTACAGTTAAGGTTGCACGAAGAGGCAACATTTGCATGCGACACAAGCATTATATATGCATATTGTACTTGAAAGCTAAGCTGTCACTGTTCTTGCCCTAAGGGCCTGAACGTGGGAAAAAGAAAGCTTTTCAAAGGACAATAGTTACAGACAACTTACAGCGGTTTCAGTTCCTTTTCTTCTCGCCAATTTCAATTTGTCTCTTACATTAATTTATATTTACGTGTTTTCTCTATTTTACTTGAAATATTTTATTTGTTTTAATTAGTACATGTATAATAATTTTTTTATTCTGTATAAATTTTAATTTTATCTTTAAAATTTATAATTTTTTTAAAAAAAATCATTAAAATTTTTTTGTACAATAAAACAAATAAAAGTGTATTTTTTTTTCATCGATGTGTACTAGTTAACAAATCTTTGTCAATACAAAAATAAACTTAAGTTAAAAATAAATTTAATAAAAAATATTAATAAAAAATATCAACCGCCATTGTTGCGGCTTTTCATATAATAGTTTTTATGGATTCTTTTTATTTAAATCTTGAACAAGAATAAAAATGAAATATATAAGATATAATTAAAATAAATCAAATATTTTAAGCCCAAAAATAATAATAATAAATAACCCTTGAAACTACAAATTGAAATTTACCTTAAAATTTAGGTTAGTAAACTTTAAGGATTCTTCCTTGAAGCTAGGAATATTATGCTTTTAGAGTGTTTAGGGTCTCACATGGGGCAGCTTTGCAAGGAGTAAATTATAAATTAGTTTCTTTATTTTTTTCAAAAGAAATTAAATAGTCCTTTTAATTTTAATACCTATTAATTAGTCTTTATATTTTTAAATCTATTTGTAACTTAATTCTTTTCATTAATTTTCAATTTATTATGTGTTTTTTCTAATAAATAAACAAAATAAAAACTACGCAAAGATTTACGAGAAAAGAATAAATTTTTTGGAACAAAATTAACCTTTGCCAACATTGATTAAAGAACTAATTAATTAGTTTTTAAAACAAGATGGAGTACTTAATTTGTTTTACAAATATACAGGGACTGATTTATAATTGACGCCTTTGTAGGTCTTTAAATACCGTTGGAAGGGCAGGGTTATGTGTATACTCTTCTTATCTTAACCTCTTTCTAGCTATCTTACCCTTAGATTGAGGTCACTTAAGATTCTTCCTTAGAATCGTAACACTAGTTAAGTTTCAGATTAATCTCGTCCCATCGAAACATGGCCAATGCAGCTTGCACTTGCTTTTTTTCTTATTAATGTTGTTGTCTTACGATATCCTTTGTGTTGAAGGAAGGAGTTTAGGACTGCGAAAAGGATTGAGGCATGCCAAATGCTGCAACCCTGAAGGGAAGAGCATCGCAAGAAACAGTACTAAAGAAAATAGTGCAAGCACAAGTAATCCCTTGCACCATACTATTAAAACTAGTGAAGGAGTCGTGGATGCTTTTCGACCTACAAACCCTGGTCATAGTCCAGGTGTTGGCCATTCCATCCACAACTAATTAATTAAAGCAATGATCTGAAGTACTTTGGGTGGTTATTCTAGTAGCACTTATGTCACTTTTATTGTTATGGATTTGTTTCCTTGTGCTTTTAATGTGAATTGTATTGTATATATGTATTTCCACTTCTGGACGTCATTGAAAAGATTTGTATTATTTTCAGCTTAATTGAGAGAGCATTAATTAACCATGTCTTCATTGATTTATATATATATATAGAATATGTTTTCTTTTCTACTTTTCTGTATTTTCAAGTTCTCCTCGATCATCTTCTTCTTCTTCTTCTTTTACTCATTGAAATGCCCTTTGAACTTTGGGTTACATATATAATGGAGAATGGGATAACAATTGCATGCAAGATATTATTAGTGGAGATAGTATCAAGTAATTTGATCAGTTGGACTCACTTTCGTATTGGTGAATGTCAAACTCACTAGCAATCTAGCACACCTATTTAAACGTGTGTGCGTGTCTTTTATACATATATATTAAACTACATCTTTTCTATTTTATAAGAAAGATCTGACCTAGCTACCTCATTCAGGAAAAGAGAATTAGTACACTACCTAAATCTTACCTTACACAAATCTTGGCTAGAGAAATAACTGGCAAATCTCCTCCTACGTACTGCCTTGAGCTTCTAATTTCAACTTGTGTATTATGTCCTATGGTGTTTTAAAAAAAAAGAAGAAGAAGCTTCCCAAAAATTCAAAAGAACAATATTGAGGTTGCAGGAAATTCTCATTTACAAGTTATTTATTTATTTTGTCCTTTCAAGGAATGAAAAAATCCACGGGGATGCTTTAACATCTAAATTCATCACCCAAAAAAAAAAAAAATTACTCGAACCAAGTCATATGTACAGCATTAATTTGTTTCTTCTGTAGCATATTCCATCGTTTTGACCATGATGTGACCTATTTCAGAATGAATATTTTAGTGCAGACCTGCAGACCTTAACCTTTACTTATGTTAGAGAAGCTATTCACTTCTTGACAATTATCTCTTAAGAGTTGTGATAATTCTACTAGCTAGTCATTCAAAATCAAGTTAGCTAATTTGTGTTAATAGTATCTGAATTAAGTTAATGCATTTTCAAATTCAATTTCAACAGGATATACTCAATAGCTATCCTTTCAAACCACTGTAGCCACAAATAAACAGCAATACCAAAAAAATAAAATAAAATAAAATAAACATTACAAGCAAAAAGGCTTACAATTCTTCCTTACCCTTTCGTTTCTTTCTATACTTGAAACAGCTTGCATGCATTATTGGAGTCTACAATTCAAAAAAGATTATTGCAGTCAAACAAACAGCTCAAGATTTTCATTATGTTCGTGCTTAATGCAAAGGAAGAAAATATTAGAATCACTGAGAGAGGCTGAATTGAAGCCTGGTATCATATATTTCAGTAGTCGAGATTGAAGTAGTAAAATTATATTGCAGTTTGCAGATATATTCTTAAGGGTTATGGAGTAATCAACGTTTCAAAATGAAACTCTGCCCAACTTTTAAGACTTGAACTAAAACATCTCTCCTGCAAAACCAAACGGACAAAGGCCTAGAGATATTCGAAATACATCCAGTTTGCTGTTAAAACATTTTTTAAAAAAAAAAACACATATACAAGACAATAATAATAAAAAGGGAAAATATGAACTCTTTTCCCAAATACAAATGTTATATTTCTCATCATATATACGAAAAGGAACTTTAAGTTTTTCTGTTCAATGCATATATATTCAAGTATCCCTCCCAAACGTAGGGAGACCTCTGCTTTATGAATTCGCTTTTCTTTTGTCATTAACTTCAAGGGAATCTTAATTTCTTCTTTTTGGTGGCTAACAATAATTTTAATTGATTATTTTGATCTTAAACTTTTGAACTTTGTTTAAGCCTCATCAAATTAGGCTGTCTGTTCCACAGATTAAATAATTAAAATTATTATCATTGCCTGTGAGAGATGGCGATTAGTGGTCCCAGGGGGATTCTATAAAACACACTCGATGCTATATATTTTAATTTAAACCCTGTAATGCAACCTTCGAATCCTTTGAGGCGCAGGAGCTATTTATTTTAATAGGATCAGGAATAATTCGACCAACAAATTATTAAGATCCAATAGCCTTGTAAAAGATCTCATGCCTTTGCATACTTCTGATACTACGTCAAAATGCAGGGGCGGAAATAGTATAAGGATGTCATGCCACCCCCAAATTTTGAGAAGTTTATAGTTTAGTCTTAAAATTTTGAAAAATCATAACCTTAAAATGAAGATTTACTTCTTAAGATATATGCATTTTGAACCCTCAAAAATTATGCATTACCTCTATAGCCTTTATTTGTTATTTTCTTTACAAGTTTATCCTTAGTTTTTTTGGGTTTTCTCACAGTTGGATCATATACTCTTTAAGTTTTATAAATTGAGATCTTTTTTTTTATTTAAATTGATTGAAACCTTTTATTTTTCGAGGTTTTTTTTTTTTTAGATCATCCGTTATAATACTACTGATCAATTATTAATATGTGACAATATAAAATAAAAAATCTCAAAAATGTGTCGATCACTAATCGGTAGAACTATAAAAAAAGGTTTGAAATAAATTTTTTAAAAAAAATAAAAAGTTTCAGTAAAAAAACTCAAAGAGTACGAAGTCTGAATGTAAATTTTTATATTCTCACCCGAACTTTTAAAGCTCTAATTTAGTCCCTATGACAAAGATCAATCAAAAGCTAGCTGCATACCACTGAGGGTATACAAGGAATGGACAGAAGTGACTAAAATGTGCTCCACTATTTTGGTCTGGGAATTTATGTTCTTGTTTTTTAGGTACAAAATATCAAAACATCCCCATAGCTAGTTAGACATCCTTTTAATTCTTTTGTTCAGTTTTGCCATTAACTGCAAGGGAATCTTTTGATTTCTTTTGGTGGCTAATGATCAATGTCGCAAACTTTTTGGAGGTTGTTCTTTTTTTTTAACCCAAAAGAAATATGAAAATGAAAAAAAAAATACGGGAAAGTATCGCTAGTTGTAAAGTTGGGTTCGTTTGACGATAATAATTAAAAGGGTCCTGGACTCGAAGTAACAGTCGAAATTAATGAACAGTTGTGTAATCATGAGCCATGAGGTAATGGGAAGGCTAGTGGGCGCAGGTGCATGGGAATACTGGGAAGTACACACCTTTTTGGTTTTTGTTTTAAACCCTAGTGCAACCTTTGAGTTTTTCAAAGGTAGGGGATGTTGTAGAAGATCAAGAATTGATTTTGTATGTGGTTATTATAATAATTAAAGATCTCGTCGCATTTTGTACTAGTTAATTGGGCAAAGGTAAGGTCAAGAACTTCAAAATTACTTGCGTAAATTTCTAGGGTCTTGTGTACAAATCTAGAAATATGTACTAGTGTTGATTTAAAAACGAAATACAAGAAAGTAAACATACAGTTTAACATCAGAAAAATTTCTATTGAACCAGGACAAAAATTGCTGCTGTAAATGAACAACGTAAAGGTGCTGATACTTGTACTGCTTGTGCCAGGAGGCAAAGAGAATATAGACAACTAACCAGAGCTAAGAAGGTTCGAAGCTTTTTCATTCACGAGAGGTAGGGCTTAAACCGTTGATTTAAACCGTCCAATATATGTCGCTTTTTTCTCATTCTTCTGTTTTGCTTCAACAAACTTGATGGAATCTTCCCACTTGTGAGGACCCCTCACATGTTTTTGTCTGGAAACCTTAATCACTACACAAATCAAAGAAAAGCTTATTAAGCCACTTGCAACCCTAGTATATAAATAGTACCACAGTGTAGGAAGAGGGTAGGTCGAGTTCTAAACACTTAATTTCACAGTAGAGGAAGGAGATCATAACATAAAATCTCCTCCCTGCCCTTTCTTAGCCTAACTTTAAAACCTCCCATCAATATGGCCACCTCTAGAGTAGCAGGTGCCTGTATTGTTCTTTTTTCTTGATACTGTGTCATGAAGTTGTTCAGGTAGAGGGAAGGCTTTTAAATTCTGAATTGTGCAAGAAATGCTCAAAGAATAATGATAACACTACTGATCTGAATGTGCCAGAAAATGGTAATCACGGTTTGGCAGCTGGTCAGGAGCAAACAAGTAAGGTCAACAATCTTGATGATTTTCGACCCACAGAACCAGGCCACAGTCCAGGTGTTGGCCATTCCATCAAAAATTGAACTTCTTAACTCTTGTTCTTATTCATCCATTCATGCCAATGTGTTGCGGTTGGGGTCGAAGTCTTGATGATGGACAGAAGGAGAAGTTATTAATTATCATTTCTGATTTTTTATTTGCCCTAAATTGAATGTTAATATATAAAGTTGTTCTCAATTAAACATTCAATCTCTCTTAATCCGATTAGCTTTTTAAAGTAATCTAATTAATTAGTTATTTTTATCAATTTTTTAATGAAAATCAAGATTAGATTAATTAGAAGATAGTCAGCTACTGGTAACATTACATAGATGAGACCTGTAAGAATGCACTAAAAAAATCTAGAGGAAAACAAAACTATACCCAAGCAATTTGCACAATTTCTAGGTGGAGACTACTCCTAGCTAAAGAATCTAACATTACATTTCCTTCGTGAAGGATATGTCCAAATAAAAAAGAATCAAGGATATAATAAAAAAATCAATAAAGTTTGTTAGATAATAATATAAATTATATTTATGGTCTCACCTTGTAACTTAAGCTTTTAGGTGAGATGATCCCTTGACATAGTATCGAGCCTTGATGACCAAATAATCACGAGTTTGAATCATACCACCCTCACTTTCTCTTCTAATTAATTAAGCACAAGGCGGTGTGGGCCTATGAAAGTTTCAAGCCCAAAGGGCTTTCACTTGAGGAGGTGTGTCGGAAAATAATATAAATCATATCATGGGGCTTCACCTAACAGACTTAAACTTTTGGATGAGATGATCCCTTGACGAGTTAAAAATAGTCTACAAATGCCAAGGCCTAATAGAAACTTTCTTATTTACCCAAATGATAGCATTAGTCGAGTTTAATTCAATAATACATTTCACCTAATAAGCATATGCGGAAGACCTACAACACTCTAAAGCCTTATTGATTGCTAAAACCTCGATTCATTTGATTTCTTAATCCTCGTTGAGATTTAAAAAAAAAAAAAAAAAAAAAAAGTGGCACATAAAATTTATTTTGCTCAAGATGAAATGATCTTCTATAAATTTTGTCCGATAAGCTACTCGTAAAGACTAGAGAAGAGATATAATCCCAGTTTGACCTATTATCATTGAAGACCCTATTGTTTTATTTTCCAACAAGACGGACCAAAAGGCTACATAGAGAACGAAGAACCAAATCTTGTTATGCATCCATCCATTACAAAAATATTCTCATCCTTGAAAAACGTCATTAACGAATGTGACTTAACCCAAATATTATGCCATCGGGACATGATCCGGCACCACATAATCTACATCCCATCACGATAAAGAAGCAAATGTTAGATTGTTTCTTGACTAGAATTGTAGAAAGGACAACTATTAGTGTCCTCTCTTATCATACCTTTTGTAGCAAGTGAACTTCTAGTATTTAGTATCTTTAGTAGCACCGATTAAGTAAACACTCTAACTTTTAGAGTGTAGAGATTAAACACACATAGGAGTGAATTATGGATTCACCGGCTAAGAAGTTATTGTTAAGAAAAGAACAACATGATTTAACTTCTATCAATTATAAATTAATTTCAAGGAGAAAAAATACATTTTTATTAGTTTATTTAGCCACCTTGGTCATCAAGTTATACGAGAACTATAACAAGCTTGAATCATCAAGAGGATTGTTAATATTCAAGATCCAAAGCTTATCGCCCTACGTGAATATACATATGTTTTTGTTTAATGAAAATTATGATATCATAGAAATAGAAAAGTTAAAATGAAAAATAAAACCAAGCAAAAACAAAAACTATAATAATCAAAAAACCTAAAAAGTCAAAAATCATCGTCAATGTCATAACCTAAAATTTCCCTTTTTTTATTTTATTTGTTTCTTATTTTATTATATCTCATTTTATTTTATTTTGTAATTTATTACAAAAGCAAAAAAAAAAAAAAAAAGAATAAAAAATTAAAAAATATAAAATACAAAATATAACAAAAAAAGAAAGAAAATGATTAAGGAGATGACTCATCTCGTAACCCTAGAAATCTCCTATATAAGCAACTCTTTTCCTTCATTTTAGGAAGGGGGAGGGAGCCTCTACAACTATTCTTCAACCCTAAAAAAGCTAGCAAGCAAAATTTAGGGAGCTACAAAAACCCTAGCAGCCATCATATTTTCCAAAATAATAATAATAATACAACCACAGCGACCACTTTTGTTGTAGTAGGAGGACTCATCCCTCTTTCGTAATCATCATCATCGCCTAGCACTCTAAACTCCTACAAGTATCTCCCACAAGCCCTTCCATCTCCATCCTCACATTAGCCATCATCCCTCTATATCCCATCTCTTCACCCTCACCTTACTTGGAAACCCAATAAACCCACCACATTTTATCAATCTTTGTATCAATAAAAAAGACAAATTTATACACCAATCCTTCTTCGGGTTTGCTCTAGAAGAGAGAGCATGGCTTCAATCTCTATTCCATGCCTTAAGACTATTTTGTTTGCTACTTATTGTTGGACCCAATGCTCAAAATTCATAACCACGGCCTAAGATCTCTTTTCCTCGATCAACCATTCCCATTTAGAACCCATCTCTCTCGTTCGGATCCATATTCTTTGGTTTTGAGTGGCCTTACAAGGTAGCAAATCAATAATATATATATATATATATATATATATATATATATATATATATATATATATATATATGAAAATCAATCTTACTTTTATTCTCTTTAGTTTGTCTATTATTAGTTTAAAAACCAGTAAGCGGTATTAGAGCTCTTAAGGATCTTAAAAGTGAAAAGAAAAAAGGTTTTAAGTAGCCTTTTACTTGCATCTCTACTAGTTTTTGAAGAAAAAACTATAATTTTTAGTTAGTCAAATTGAAAGATATTCTCATGGTAAATGAGCTTTGAGAATTTATAGAACAAGGCTACAAACCACTAGTTACAAAAGTACAACTTTTAACTAAACAACAAAAGAAACAAAGCAAGAATAAGTTAAAAATGTTAAAGCTCTCAAGCTCATGCACTCAACGAGTCTCATAAATGAATTTTACAAGGATTATTGGTGCAACCACACCAAAACAAGCTTGGAAAATCTTCCAATAAGAGTTTCAAGGTATTAAGAGAACAAGAACCATCATTCTATAGAATATAAGAAGAGAATTTGAAGTTCTCAAGATGAAAAAAGCTGAGATAATAAAGGATTATTCTTCAAGGTTGATAGAAGTTATGAATCAAATAAAGGTTTTTGAAGAATCAATTTCATATCAAATAATGGTTAAAAAAAGTATTGATTAGTCTCTTAAACAAGTTTGATTTAATTAGAGCAACTATAGAAGATTATAAAGACTTTTTAAAGTTCATGCTCATTGGGCTCGTAGGATCATTATAAGCACATGAGGCAAAGATTTTATAGAAAAGTATAAATTTCATCAAAAGGTGTTTTTCAATTAGGGAAAAAGTAAAATATCAACTCTCGAAAAGGTTACAAGAGTTAAAATAGTGAGAAGAAAGGAAACAAGAACAGAGACAATTCTAGTGGTGTAAGCCAATAAGAAAGATAAAGACATGTTATTTCTTATGGTTTATGCAAGAAAACCAATCATCTAGAGAAAGATCGCTAACACAAAGGAAAGTTACAATATAGACATTATAAGAAGTTTATCCATATAGAAAAAAATTATAAATGTAATAAAAATAGAAGCACTAAACAACAATTGTAAAATCAACAAGCCAACTTTACTAAAAATAAGCAAGAAAAATGAGATGATTTATTTTCCATAACTCAAATGCCACATTGTAAGAGCAAAGACACTTAGTTTATCGACAATGATTGCACCAATCACATGATCAATAATCCAAACATATTTGCTAAGCTAGATAAAACTATGAAAATGCCTATAAGAATTAAGAATGGGTATTTTGTGAAGTCACATGGAAGAGGCACCATTGTTATGAAGACTAAAAAAGGTATAAATTCATTAAAGACGTTCTTTCGGTACCAAATCTCAATCAACTGTTGCATAGTATAGTTAAATGATGAAAAATAGCTACTTTATTGTGTTTTAGCATGATTGACGCACTATTTATGATCAAGACAATATGGAGATAGTCAATATTACCATGGAGAAGAAAAATTTTCCATTACAATGGGAATAAGCATCTTTAAAGGCTTTAAAAGGCTTATTGATGAAACCATGCTTTGGCATGAGATATATAGGCAATTAACTTTTCTTCACTTAAATTTATTTAGTAAAGGAATATGATGAGAAATTTACCTACCATATATGATTGTAGTGAAACTTGTTAATCATGTAAGCCGATTGCAACACACAAAGTCATTTTCTATTATAAGAACATAAAGAGCACATAAAAAATTGCAACTTGTGCACACTAATGTGTCCGGTGTAATGAGAACACTTTTTTAAAATTAAAATTTATATTTCATACTTTTTATTGATGATTTCACAATAATGACTTAGGTCTACTTCTTAAGAAAAAAGGTCGAGGTTTTCAAAACATTAATGCACTAGAAAAATTCAAAATACTTAAAAGATACAAATGCTCCTATTAGATAAAGGAAAAGAATATTCTTTGACAAAGTTTGATCAATTAGGTAAAGATCATATCTTGTAACATCAGCTCACTACAACCTACATTCTACAATAGAATGGTGCATTCGATAAAAAGAATAAAATAGTAATGAAGATGGCTCGATGTATTCTTACCGAGAAGAATATGCCTAAAGAATTTTAGGAAGAGGCTATTTATGTAGTTGTGTACTTATTGAACGGACTACCAATAAAGGTGATTAAAGAAAACACTACAATTGAAGCATAAAGTGGTCTAAAGCCAAGTGTGAAGCATTTGAAGGTGTGTAGTTCGAGTGTTCTATACTCATGTCTTAAATAAAAAGAGGTACAAGATATAGAATAGAGCAAACAAAGTCTATTCTTAGGATATAGCTCATAATAAAATGGCTATAAAATTTATAATCTTTCAACATAAAAGGTGGTGACAAGTAGAGATGTGAAGTTTAATGAGATACAAGTTCAAAGTAGAAGGAGTTTAAAGTTAAAAGAACAAATCATAGTCTCTCTCTATAACTTAAATAAAATATGCTAGAAGAAAAAGAGTTAAGTGATATATAAATAGAAATTCAAACCCATCTCCATATAATGGGTTTAATTAAATCATCACCGTACTCTCTAGAATGAGAAGACCCATCTTTATCACTATCTAGAAGATTTAAATCTATATCCGATTTTTATAGAAGATGTATATAAATATGCGACCTACTTGTCATTGAACCTAATGGCTTTGAAAAAGCCTCCAAACATATAGAATAAAAAATTCCAATGCATGAGCAGATTGATATGATAGGCCTACTCACAAGAAAGTGATTGGAGTAAAATATATATATACAAGGACAAAATGAATCTAAACGGTTTAGTGGAAAAGTATAAAGCCAAATTGGTGGTAAAACACTACTATCAAGAATTTGCGGTATGTATATAATTTCAAATATGAGTGTTATAATGATGATATTTTTGTCAAAGACTCTAAAAAATGTGCGTGTGTGTGATGTATAAGGCCAAAATGAATCCAAATGGTTTAGTGTAGAAGTATAAAGCCAAATTAGAGGTAACACACTACTTCTACAAACTTTCGGTATATATATATAGTTTCAAGGAGTGTATATGTGTGTGCGCGTACGTGTGTGTAGAAATAAGTAATCAATGTTACTTTTTTGCTCTTTAGTTTCTCTATTATTGGTTTAAATAACAATATTTCCCAATCTCTAAGAGGTCTTCTCTATAACATTTTCCAATCCAAATGTCACCAATCTATTCACTCATATCCTTATCTTAACACTAACTCTAGATTTTCTTTTAGTGATAAAATTTTGTCAACCCATGATGCTAGTCCCACTCAAATACTAAATCCACTTAAACAAAAAAGCTTTATTCTTATCCTGGATTAAACTCACTCCCAAATCTTTATGATTTTTTAGAACTACAAAAATCTATTTTATTTTAATTATTTTCCTCTTATTTGAAGATGTTGAATTATGGAGACCATTGTGGATGGGGTCCGTAATGAAAGGTCTACAAAATATTGGGTCAAATGTATAGGCTTGTTAAACCATTTTTCTTATAACCTTAATTATACACACTAAAAATAGAGGCAACATCACTTATATTTATAACGAGTCACTTGATAAAATCTAATAAGCAATCCCGGTATAACCATAGAATAAGCACAATTACCGAACTCCATTAATCTTTATGTTGTGTGATTATTCTTCTCTTCCTACTCTATTTTCTTCACTACAAACCAAAAAATTTTGACCAAAGTTTCCACCAAATCATTATTTTCTACTCGTTATTGACCTTTAACGATGGGTTTGTTATAATATTTTTTAGTAGCTAAAACGATCATTGTAATTTTTTTAGCGATGAAAATTTCTATCCATTGTTGATCAATGACGGCTTATCCATCGTTAATTTGTATAATTTCTATTGCTAAATCAAAGTAAATAATCATTTTTTAAGTCACGGTATCTTTAACAAAATCATTAGTATTTATTTTATTTCCGTTGCTATTTAGCGACAAAATTACCATCTCTAAATCACTCTCGTTAAAATTCCTTACAAATTCATTGCTATTTAGTGATTGTATATATGCCAATTGATTGTTGATCCATCACTAAATGAAGAACTCTTTTATATATAAATTAATAGTCATTTATGTTAATGGTAGTAGCAAATAACTATAAAAAAAAAATTATTAAAACATGATATATTATTCAATAAAATTAAAATAATATAAATTGAAATGAAATAAAAATAAAAACATTTTTAGGTGTATAAAAACATTAAAAACTAAACAAAATACAAGAAATCTAGTCCGCATCATAATCATCTTTCGTATCATCTTTCAATTTCCTAGATATTGAGAGGAATGGTCGACTCCTAGGTTATAGGTCTACCACCTTGATTTTGAAACATTCTTATGCACACATGTGTGTTTATTCGAATCAAACATTCTCATGCATCTGCGTGTGTGTATTTTCAATTAATTAGTTTTGATTAAAACATATAAAATTAGGTTTAGTGTTTGAATGAATTGTATGTTTTATACTTATATTAATATTGTGCTTGTGTTTGCCTTATTAATTATTTAGTTTTAAATAATTATATTGTTAAGTGTTATAGGAGTGTGAGTGACTTAG